GCATACAACAATTAAAATAAAATAACAAGTGAATAAAAACAGGCATTATAAAAAGATAAAAGATTATTATTAGAATAAAAACATTATCACATATTTTTAAAAATAGATTTTAAAATATACAAACCCCACAAGGAGAGCAGAATATCAATTACAGTGGAGCCATCTAAGAATGTCTTTCCCAAAGACCCCCAGGCCTGATGACATAACCAGGTCTTGAGGGACTTCCTAAACGATAGCAGGGAAGGAGCAAGCCTAACTTCAGGATGAAGAATGTTCCACAAGGAGGGAGCCACGGCAGAGAAGTGCCACCAACCCCCAATCCCATAAGCTGATCCAGAAGGATACCATGGTTAATGGTATCGAAAGCCACCGAGAGGTCAAGTAGGGCAAGGATGGATGCATATCCTCTATACTGCCCATGCCAGAGATAATCCAGAAGTGTGACCAATGCTGTTTCTATCCCATACCCAGGTCTGAATCCGGACTGAAAAGGATCCAGATAATCCACTTCATCCAAGGCCCTCTGAATCTGTTGCGCAACCACCTTCTCAACCACCTTACCCAAAGGTTATACACCTTCCTTTCTTTCCAGATCTGTTATCCATACATTGATAGCTTTCCATTTTGATTATAGTGATGCACTCAACATAGCACAATTGCAAAAGAAGAGTCAGAACCCTGAAGCATTGCAGACTTTAATACTACGTATTTTAACTAAGATATGACATAGGGAAGATATTGTTCCTAATGTTCTGGAATATATAGTCTTGTTTCCAGACTGAATTCCAAGTGCTAATAATTATTTTTAATGCATTGAACAATGAGGGATGAGTAAAAGACTTCATTTAACAAAGTGATAAAAACTGTTCTTCTGGTAATTTAATTATTTGTGATGCATTGTTAGTTTTTTATTTTAATGATTCATAACTACTAAAATTACTACTCATTTTTCCCCTGAATAATTGTATTAAAAGAATTCAAAGTGGATAGTTTTCAGTGGATAGAATATAATAACTTATAAGAAGTGGGCTTGGATTATAAGAATTAAAGTTCTTAGCTGTACTGTAAACTAGTTACATTCTTCAGATTTAAAATGACAGCAATAACTACTTACCTATAGGTTAGTTTTAAGAATTTACATTATAAAGCAGTTTCAGTTATGAAGTATTATATAAAAGGGTAACAACTGTATCACAAATATTTTTATCATAATATTCTAGTTATGATCTCCAATTAAACTGAATTGCTTCTAAGCAAGAATGACAGTTTAATCAACATTTCAACAGAAAGAGTAAAACCGAGTACTGTTTTATTACATTATTGTTTACAATAACATGAATAAAGTTTGTGTTTATATCAACATCCTAAACTGGACTCACTGAAAGCAGCAGGATACAAGACCTATTTCTACTGAAAGACACTGAGTGATTCATTTCCAGTGTAACACTTAAACAAATGTGTCACAATGATGAAGTTCCTCCTCTGCACATTTATGGAATGGCAGAATCCTGCTAGGAGATTATAGTGCCTAAAGACCAAAAGCCTTTGGGTTATATTGTGACAGCAAGGAATGACTCATTCTCTCAGTCAGCTAAAGGTATCTTCAACATTTAGTAAGTTCTATCGACCAGGTACTGTCCATCTACAGAAAGCTGATAGAGTTTCAATATGTGAAAGAATACTGTATAACTTAAGTCTACCAAGCAAAAACAAAACAGAAGCAAACTGGGAATATCATAGTTTGTTTATTTTTTTATAAATTTTTGGAAATAATAATAATAAGAAACTTTTAAGCACAGAATATGTCTTACTATGAAGAATATTAGAATAGGATTAAACAACTTAATGTTTAATAAGAGAGAGGTTGAAATCTATACACTCGTCCTCTACTGAACATATAGGCTGAATAATACAGAACAATATATTTGGAAAAACACTAATTAAAACGTATGCTTTAATACTTATACTTAGCAGTAGGACTATTATATGTATTTAAAGAACACTCATTAATCCATCAACAGTAGATTCAGGTAATCATCCAAGGATTATAAATCTGGTTTATTCTACTAGTATTTAATTAACATTAAAACAGAAACATTTGAGTAACATGCAATTCTGCTTGAATGTGAGCCAGAATACATGTGCCAAAGTTAGTGTGCAATAAGTGGAATATTTCACCATGGGGGGCATTTACAGCTTCATAAATTATATGGCCAGTATAACCATCCACCCTGTAGATCAGGCACCAGTCTTGGCTTTATCACTGATTTATTTCCTATGTTTAGTGTAGCAATGCATCATGCTGGTTCTGCCTGTATACAATAGCAAGAACACTACTCTCAAGCCTCTTATTTCGATCTGGACTCATTCATCTTTTTTACTCACTTTTTTTAAACTTTACAGACTGTGTGCTATTGCTTTTAAATCCCCTGCTCTAGCATTACTTCCACTCCACTATCCAGTACAAATACTTTGCCTTTATCTGCAAATCCTCCCTTAGTCTTGACTACATTAACTCTATAACAGCTCTAATTTTTTCTCCTTTATCTTTAATACAGCCAAGCTATCTTTTTTTTGTTTTAATTCCTTGGATCATTCCCTTGCTGGTCTATATAACTATCACCCTGCTCAGGTAAAACTGTCTCATCTTCCATAGTATTCCTCAAAGCCCATCTTTACATCATGACTTCAGCTTCTCTGTTTAAGTTCTCATGTCATATAACAACTAACCCTCATTCAAGGCAAATTTTGAACCACAGTTCAATTATTATTTTTAGAAATTACTTCAAATGCTAAACTCTTCAGATTGGTACCTTCTTGTTTGTTACTACATAATGCTAATAATAAATAAATATATAAAAAAATATAAGGAGCCTAGGTAATAGTTGGACTATTGCAATGCGCTCTACATGGGGTTACCACTGAAGAACAGAAGCTACAGCTGATCCAGAATGCAGTGGAACAGAGAGTGGTGAGCATGCCTCAGTATGCCTATGTGTCCCCACTGCTTCATGAACTGCACTGGTTGCCATTGAGCTTCCTGGTGCAATTCAAGGTGTTGCTTATCACCTATAAAGCCCTTCATGGCATAGGGCCTGGTTATCGGAGGGATTGCCCATCTTCCATTGTTTCTACCCATACAGTAGTATTGAGCAGAGTCGGTATGCTACAGATCTTGTCTATCCAAAAATGCCATGTAGCAGGACCCATGAAGCATACTTTCTCTTTCATGGCATCTACCCTCTGGAATAGCATTTCCCCAGAAATCTGTGTGGCTCACACCCTAACGGTTTTCCAGAAGTCCTTAAAAATGTTGGCTCTTCCCCCAGGCTCTTGAACAGGGTGGTGGTCATACTCCTGTCAGGTATATTTACTGAGGTGTTTGGAATTTGTGTCAGGACATGCATGCTCTTCTTGTTTACCACTGTTTTCATCCTTCATAATGTATGCCACCCATAATCATTCTGGAGTTGGGTGACCTTAAATATAATAAAGAAACAAATAATGTTTTCTTCCTCTTCAATCAGCCAAGCTACGTACACCATGTAGAATAAGCAACCTCCAAGAAAAGAGATGACTCATAGATTATGGGAAATGTGCATAGATTTCCCATTTACCTAGCATTTCTTTCTACACCAATGTAGGCAATAGAAATAATGAGTCTCTTCTGCTTTATATGGATGCTATGCACCTTCTCACTGAATTTATTTATTTTAAAATGTATTTATTCACTATGGACAGGACAGTATTCAAAATATAAGAGAAAATTGGACATTGCAAAGCTTAAGAGCACTACTTACTTCTCCCACTACCTCAATGATGTCTCCAACTTTCAACTCCAGTTCATCTTCATTTTGGGGCATATAACTGAAAGCCACCTGACATCGTCGCCGTCTATTTCGTTCACCTACAATTAAATAAGATCCCAATATTTTTATTATTAATTATAAAGTGAATATTTACAGGTAACAGGGAGATTGGACCCTACCATTTTGAGCACACACTTCAATTCAACTTAATATGCTATTTCTCAATGTCATAATGACAGTCAGGCAACCTGCAATGACTATGTCAGGCAGGTAAATGGAATTGGTCTTACATGGACCCTGGTGTAAAACTTCCTAAATGATATAAAAGGATATAAAATCTCCTAGAAATCAATATGTACTCACAGTGACATGTAGCTTTCTTGATAACAACATAATAGTTTTTGCATTCCCGTCTTCTGTGGTATCTTCCCAGTCTAGCCTATAACTCTGCAATTCCTTTGAGATCTTCTACCCAAGTACTAACCAAACCCACTCCTGATGAACCTCTAGGCCTAGACAAGGGTGGGCCAAGTGTATATTCCTGGTGGCTGTGTGGTCTTAGGTTACACGTCTGAGTTAGGTGGCAATGACATGGTATGACCACCTGGTCATTCAGCAAGACCAGGCTTGACTACCACCAACTAAATAAGGGCAAGAAATGACATGCTTTAATATAAATCTCTCTAGAAGCAATGTCTACCTTTTATTCTTGTGCCTTGAACAGTTATTAATTGACAGACTTCCCTGATTATGCTGATTCTTTATTACCTAGACTAGGACCAGAGCTTTTTCTGCTCCTGCTCCTCATCCTGATCCAAAAGAGAATTATCACAGCAGTGTTTAACTATTTATATGAAACACTAAAATTGTAAGTAGTGGTAATAGCCATGATCTAAAGAAATCTGCAGTGCCTAGAGTAACTCTGGACTTCTGCATTTTGCATACTAGCTCTACATGCTGCATGACAGCTTTCGAAACTAAGAAGTGCGTCAAAAGCACATGTTGATAGTTTTCTGTTCAAGTAATCAGAAATGCAGGGTTAGCATTAGGAAATCTTAAATTAGCATGTACGACTGATGACCTTAAAACTGAGAAGTGTTTTTTTGCTCATAATGAAAGACTAAAAATAAAGTCACACACAAGTAGAAGTTTCAAAGCTACATCTAACATAATTTGTGATATTCTTTTTTATCTTAGAAAATAAGATACAGTACATTGTACAGTGTTTAAATAGTCTTCACTGTACTGCCATACAATATCAAGTATGCTGAACTCTGCACTCCACCAACATGGAAAGTGAAAAATTCCCAAACTGACATGACCATTTGTTGGTTCCATATCACCATGTTTTTAAGCTCAGGGTCTTTGGTCAGAAACTGACATTGAGAGAACTACCACAAGGGGGCAGCCAACGTCAAGGAAGGCCTGTGTGTTGTCCATATTTTAGATTCAACTTCAGTTTGACACTTTAACCATGCTGATTGCCAAAAGTGAAGTTGAAATATTAAATGCATGAATATTTTATATTTCTCTGAAACCTGTACACAGCAGTCTTTCCTCAGAGTCCTACACATTTTATTTCTTCTTTTTTTTCCTCTTGGTGGACCACACCCATTTCAATCCCAGATACTGCACAAAACTTTCATCTTCAAGGAAACTGGTACTCTTGCCTACAAACCTCTTCCCCTTTGTACCCTTATTTCTTCAGCTGTTTCCAGCCACTGGAATTATAGCTCTTCCCACTATAATTACATACCTGATCACTGAGTGGCTTTAGAATTTCAGTTCTGAATTTCCTGGCACAATGCCAAAGCTAATTCCAAAATACTGGTGCAATGGCACTTAAAACCTTGGGTTTTCTTTTCAAAAAAGGAAGCAACTTTCTCCAAGCTTAGTAAGTTCTGTAACCTTTCTTCACTGGAATGGATTGACTGAAATAAAAGCAGCAGAATGGTCTCTGACCAAGCAGATGAAAATAGGGCTCTCACCAAAAAAATTAGCTCTAGGAAATTCTGAACCTGGCTCCATGTAGATGCAAAATTTATGTGGTTGATTTCACAGAGATCATGATTAACTTTTTCAGAAATACGTATTTGTTATGCATTAGCTGCATTTTCTGGTAAATCTTCCTAAGACAAAAGGTTAACAATTAACAATTCAAACTAAATAAGACCAAAAGAATCGTAACTCTAAAGTAAACCAGAAAATTTTCTGGGCCCACCTAAGGCCTGCTTGGATAGGGCTTGGCAGGTATCAGCTGAAACAGTTTTATAGGGAGGGGGTGAGTACTAAATGACTCATACACACCTTTGGCCTCAGTGACATGATGGGTTATAGCTACCAATTTTATATCATTTTGAAGAAAGCTAAGATCAGCAAAATACAATGCTATATTTCCTCTAACAGTTGCCAAGATTACAATAAGAAAGCTGCCCCAAACAGACGTTAAACACTTAATGTAGAATGAGAGCTAGGAAGTTTGACCTCTCCCACTGGCTCTGTTGAAAGATGACCACCTCTTTCTCTCCCTGAATTATTTTCATTATGTCTAGTTTTATAAGAACTACCACAATCTTCCCTAACCTGGTGCCTTCCAAAAGTGTTGGACTTCAACCCCTGAGTTCTTAATCAGTATGACAGTTGGTGGTCTGCCTTTTTTAACAGGAACTAGTCTTCCTCTTCTGCCTTACATGAACCAATTAGCCTTTTCCTAGAGAATAGGATAAAAATGTTTCAGGCAAAACACTATCATAGAATCACTGTATCTGGGGATGGTTGTTTGTGAGGAGCAGGAGAAGTATAAGGTAAAATAGATAGATTATAGTTCAATGGAGAGGTTCAAGAAAACAGAAGAAAACAGTGGGAATATGTGTGTCACCAAAACAAATTAAAAAAAAAAAAACCAACATAACTAATCAACGTAAACAGATCTTTCCAACTTGGTGTCCCTTATTTGTCTTGGGAATATTAGTTGGGAATCCCTAGTGCTTTCCACATTTGGAAAGCACTGAACTGGAAAATATGAGCTTCAAAACTGTTTTTAAGCTACCAATGGATAATTAACACCATTCTATGAATAGTGTTCGAAGCTGAGTCATATATAATAATCTGTTGTCTGTTTTTATTCATTATTATTATGTATTTTGTTATAGTATATAAGATGAAGAAATATTGTTAATATTCACTATACTAAGAGTAATGGCCAGTCCATTTACAGCACTTCTAGATATACCTTCCTGCAGCTGCTGAGTGCTAGGTCCTGCATAGCTCCTAGCTAATGCACTGTATATAGTCATCTCAAGCGTGAAGGTTTGTGAGTTCGATTCCTGGTAGAGGGTCTGAACCCCATAGAATTACACCTGGCTACCTGTGTCTGAAGAGTCCCAATAAGGATGAAACCAGTTGTAGATATAACTGAAAATACCACACAGGATATACTGTGTGAAAACAGAGAAATTCTCCCCCCACTCCAAGACAGGTTTGTGGAAGTCATGTAAACCCTGTACATGGGCCCATATTGTAATGTAATTCCCTATCTTAAGGGAAGGTAGACTGTATATACCATTCTGATAGCTTTCTTTAAAATCTAAAATGGTTAAATTAGGATAAGTTATTTTTCACTCAGCTACAGTGCTCATTTAAATTGACTATGGGTTGCATTAAATGTTCATAACCTCTCTCACACAGAGCAAATTTATTTTTTCCATGAACTGAATTCCACACTGCTTTCTCTTTGTCCTGTGAACCTCCTTAAGACAATTCTCTGTATGGGGTTAGCATACACCACAGTGATGGAAATAGGTCACAAGATTAAAAAAAAAAAAGTTACAGTGTAAATCTGTATTATCAGACTCAAGGAAACAGTTTCCTAACCTATAAAATAAAGACACCAGAGGGAAAAAATAGTTTGCAGTCACCATAAATATTACAAGTTTTAGCAAAGCAAATAAATATGATTTCTCTTTTTTACCCAGCTTCCCTTTTTTCATTTGATTTGGAACACTGTAACATCTTACATAAAAGCAGAACTGCAGAGGGCATTAAAAATTAAATGGTTAGTAAAAGTGCATGGATGTAAAAACACTATTAAGAATGACTAGGATTTAAAGTTGCTGCTGTTGTAACAGAATGTGCTTCCTTTTCATTCCAGGGCCTTAAGAACCCAGAGGCCTGACTGCCAAATGCCATATGTGGCCTTCCATTACGTCCACAAATGCAATTCAAAAAGCAGTGCCAAGTCTTTCAGAACACTAAAAGAATCTTGCAAAATTACCACTGCAAAAATGCACCAGTATTTTTGGTTCTCAGGGTTTATATTCTGGAAATTATACATCAAATGTTATATTTTCTTTGGAGTCTAGTGCCCTAATATTCCTCTGTCTTTAACAATCTAGTTTTCTTGCCTCAAATCATATATAATCCGGTAAGAGGGATCCTATATAATGCTGACTTTTTTCTCTATTCAAAGATCCCCTATTTGTTTGTTATTCCTACATGAATTTTCTCATTATTTCACTAAACTGAACACCACAGTACAGAATTTTCTGAAAAGAATAAGGAAGAGCTGACAGCTGTTCCACTCAAAGTAGCCGGAAGTATATTTTTAAAAATACATAGAGCATAAGTGCATGGTAAAGAACACAGCTGTTTCAGTTTGTAGCTTTAAAACCAAAGAGATTACAGAGGCAAATGCTGGAAATTATTAATCTCTTTAAACTGATTACCACTGAGATTTGAAGAAATTATTTCAAATCCTTCTACAATTTTTTAAGTAAAAGGTGTTTAAACATAAAACTAAATTTATATAAATAATTTAGTGGTTTAATACAATGTCTACAACTTTGTTTCTTACAGCATCTACCTTTTTATGAGTTTCAGATTACATGTGCAAGCTTTATATAATTAAAAAGAATCAGCATTCTGTGATTTGGGAAGAATGCACTCAAAAAACAGATTGTCACACAGTCAAAACTGAACCTTGAACCAAAAAACATAATTACAACTAGTACTAGCAAAATGTTTGAAATGTGTTGCCATAAAAGGGTATCAAATAACAGACTGAGTTAGTAAAAGGTGGGCCAAACTGGTAATTGTTAATTCCTGGGCCCACAGCAGACAATGCTGGACCTCAAAAAGTAGACCTCAGATTAAACCAGTAAGACATTTTTAAAAAAATATTCTTATGGGAAAAATGCATACTGACCATTGAACACCAATTAGTTCTGTTTTAATTATTAACAGATTCTAGGGATAATTCCAGATGGAACTGCTGCTATGCTCTCCAGGTATGGCTACTGTAAATTCAACAGGCCTTTTGCAGCAACTTCCGTTCTGGTTTTTGAAACAGAGCTCACGCAAGGCTAAAGTAAGTCAACCAGGGACATTAAAGAGAAGAACTTGATCTGAGACCTCAGGGCCACACATTCCCTTGAGAAGCTTTGGGCATGGCCTCTTGATAATTTCCAAATTCTAATTTTTAATGTGTCAGAAAGGAAACATTATTAAATACATGACTGGTGATTAATTCTATCTAGTATGTTTAAATATTTACATAGAAATGTTGATGTGGGTGAAATTATTAAATGTAAAAGAAATGGAATATAATTATTTTTTTACCTGACCCCTCCTAGGACTTTAGAATGAAACCACGAGACATAAGTTACAGGCAAAATGTGGCCCTGAGCTTGAAGAAAGTCGGGCATCTCTATATAAAGGATATGGCGAAACTCAAACCACATTCTCTAACATCAGCATTCTTCAGAAATGGTTCCTAATTTTCTACTCCTTTTCTAACCCTGCTACAATCAGTACAATACTTATAAAGCTTTTGCTAAAAACAATACTACCGGGCAGAAACAATGCTTAAATAAGAAACTGACTATCTGCTTAATAAATGTAGTAAAAAAGGGATTTTAAGAAAAAGTCCATGTAGAGCAATTCCAGCATTACGGAGAATAGTTACATTAGAAGTTTACTAGGATATACTTGTCTCATTTCATTAAAGGTCTCTTCAAAATACAACTTGTTTAGGCAGCTTTTGTCCTCCTAGTTCCCATGCCCTAACATAGTTTGTTGCTAAGTTCTACCACATGCAACTGAAGCAATGTCATTATCACTTTCCCTTCCAGAATGTTCTTGTTAACTCTTCAAGAAGGAACTCATCCTCCAGGAGTGCATAAAACACTATACATTTTTATCTACAATATGTGTGTATACATACACAAGCACGCACACACACAGAAACACAATTATACATGAAAATAAATGACTGGTAAGTTGAAAAACATCTTATCTGCTTTATAAATAAGCAAGTCTATATCTATCCCCCTCCCCTTCCCAGCCCCAATATACATACATACATACATACATACATACATGGGGAGAGGGTGTTTGTGTGTGTACATGTGTGTGTGTTTCTAATTATGGGTGTATATCTCATTTCCTTTCAGACTCTGTGATAAGCTGCTGATAAAACAAAAAAAAATCCCCTTCATCATCTAGCGCATCGATACCTTTGCTGTAAGAACTAAAGCAAGTGCAGTGCAAAAACAACCAGACCCCACAATCATGCAGGGTAAGCACTAAGAAAAACAGCAACACAGGAAATTGGTAGAAAGACAAGCATCGTTGACAATGGAAACAGTGAAAGTTTTAGCTTTAATTCAGCGTTACAGAAAAGGTAGGAAAGAATGGAAATAATAATCTACAATCTTATGAAATGTATGTTAAGTCATACATCAAAAACAAAGTATCTGTGCTATGTACTGTACTATGGCATAAAGAATGGTGGATGCATTTACTTGTGTCTGTTTCAACTTATTTCACAACCAATTGGGATTCTTTAGAAAAAAATGGAGGGGTACCAATACTTTTGGCTGCATCTGTATACAGCCTTCCCTGTTAGCAGAACAACAGCAGTCAGTTTGAGTACATTTTGGTCGGTAGCGCAATTTTACCCCAAGCATGCTCATCCTACTGAATATAAGATATGATCTCTAATCTAGGAACATACTGTTGCCTCTATTACAGCAACTAAGAGGCACAGGAAGTATACTGACTTGCTTAGGATACACTGAAAATATCAAGTATAATTTCTCTTTATTAAAGTTTTATAATTAAAAATATATTACCTTTTTTGGAGGTTCTAATAATTGTCTCAGACAATAGCAAAGAACTTCCATTAGAAACTTCATGAATAGACATTTCTGGTCCTTTGCTGGCAAGATTTTCTTTCTTCACATCTTTTTTTATTTCCTGTATAAGAAATAAAAACAAAAGGGGGGAGTGCCTTTTAGAACTTACATCCATGAACAGAGATGAACTATGTGATAAATATCGGAGTCTGCACATCTTGTAAACTGCTAAGAGACTCTAGTACCTGATGGTACACAAAGCTAAACAAAATAAATGAAACCTTTTTGAAATCAATAGTAAAGGATAATTCACATTACTAATATTTAAATAAAGTTTCTTTGAGTCAAACTCAATATCTGTGATTTCATAGACACATTCATAGTTTTCTTGTTCACAGTACGGAAGTGGTTTGTCATTGCCTTCTACTTGGATGTTCATTCCCTTTCTCCCCAACTTCTCAATTTAGCCAACAGCCATTGGATTCCTTGCTGCTCTTCATTCAAATATTAACAATGCCAATATATATGTTGATTTCCATAATCAACTCTAAGTAGAATTATTACATGGAAATGCAAAACTTCAGCCTTTAGAGTAAGAGCCTCTGAATGCTTATTTAGGAATTAGTTCCATTCCTTGCTATAGTACAGGGAGCAGTTTTTGTCCAGACGTACATTAAAAACAAAAAATAAAACCCAAAACTATTATTTCCTGTCTCTAGGGAATGCTAGGGCCATGAGAGTTACATCACTAAGTAAGCAGGAACAGAGCTTTTAGCTTTTTTTTCTCTTGGGGTGAGGGGTGGGGGGAATGAGAAATATATAAAACAGATGTAATCCCAGAAATCTAATCTATTCTAAGGCTTAAATAATCAAAACCAGAAAACAATAATTCAGTTGAAAACTGCTATCTTTAAATGCTATGATCTTAAAGAGCCTTGGCGTTGCAAAAATGGACTTGGTAGACCATAAGCAGCCTGTGGGCTATCCAGCCCAGACACAATACCTCCTTCCACACACATATGTTAAATCCCTACCTTCAATATTATGTCTTAATTTGAAGAATAGGCATACAGCAATGAAAAGGAAAGTAACTCTGACTGCAGGTGTACAACGCAAGCTATCATCAATGAGCCACAGAGGAAGTGAGTATGGTATTTCTTGTAGCCTAACCAACTACAGATAGAAAACACACATTTTGAAGAGATCTTGGATCACCAGGGGAATATGGAGTGGGAAGAAAGAGCTTGAAATATACTAAGTGAACATACTAAGTCAAATTTTCAGTTTCTTTCCATCAACTGTGCCCTCAGCTATAGCAATAGTCATTCATAGAGTTTTAGAAACAAAGTGCTGTTAAAGAGAGACTGGAACTGAACTTTGGGGGTCCTTTTTGCCTTGGGCAGTTTTATCCAACATTCATTTCTTCCTGCAACCAGAATGATCTTCCTCTCTCTTTTCTACATACAGAGGCAAAGGAAGCTTTAAGAACCTTCTCAGCCATAAACTCTTAATTGGGCAGAAACAAAAGAACCTTAAAATGGCAGAAAAGTAATGCTAATCATGAACTATAAATTCTGGTTGATGCACTGATGTTCCATTTCTTTAAATAAGTCATCAGATTTTCAAGTTTAAAAATGCTGGGAAAACTACCAGCATGCAATTGATTAATAATGACACTAGTCTTACTATTTGTTCATTTAACTCAGTGTTTTTCAATTTCGGCAACTTTAAGACGTGTGCCCAACATAGTCTGCCCAACACGTAGCCCACCAAGCAGGCTTGTATGCTAGCTTTTTAAAAAATCCATTGTTGCCGCCACCAAGAAGGCTCCACCAGTGCTGCCATCCCAAAAGACACACTGACAAGCACCTCCAACACCTCCAGGTCTCACCAACACTGCCAGCAGTAAGCAGAAATTCTCATAGTGATGTCATACCAACACTGTACATATTTTAAAAGCTAACTTTACATAAAGATTTGAAGTTTGCCTGTGCGTTTCTCATTCATGTTCCAATCATTCTTATTCTAGAAATAGTGCTGTTAAAAATTCAAATAATCCAATGCAGGTAAATGCAGTAAATATTTTGGTTCTGACACTGGTTCTTTTTGATTGTGAAAGTCTAACAAAGTGCTTTGAAACAAAAGATGCCTGAACAAAATCAGATAGCAAACACTCAACTGGTAATTTCATAATCTTTCTACCCTACCCTTTATTTGTTTAATAAAACTTTACAGCCGAAAAGATTGCAGCCAAATCTTGAAAACATACATTTTATTTCAGTTGCATAGTTGGGACAGGATAAATGGAAGTCAGAAACATGACATACTATCAAGAATCAGTAAACCCATCATTTGTGGGATCTGATCAATTTATAACCTGTGACTAACAAAGTTTATTTTATGTTGCAGTTAGAGTGCAATATAACCAGTGTCTGGTTCCCAAAACTAACTTTCCTCAGACAGCTTGGAAATATAGCTGAGTATCTTCCAAATTCGACAGCAATATTACACACTGCCTTGAAACCAGAACTAATACAGAGCAAAAATAGTCTCATGAATAAAACTCTGCTAATTCCAGTTATCTGTGCTCAGCAGAAAATTGGATGTTCCTATGAGTACACAGCAATTCTGTGGACAAGGCAGTGGCTTTTTCCAATAAACTTAATTTTTTTCCTGGACATATTTCAGAAAAAAAGGATTAGGTTCTTAAACCTATTATGGAACAATATTTTCATTACATAATAGAAATTTCCTAGTAAACTATTTAAAGCAGGCCTTTTTTTCTGCCCTTGCTAATTCCCCACTATTTTGAAAAGTAAAAATCAGTGACGTTTTGCAGGCATATCATCAATTCAATAATATACTAAGAGAATACTGCTCATATGAACACAAAGCAAGTCCTAGACCTTACTGTAGCTTTCAACTGTATCAATTACAGCTTTCCCACATTTTAGAAGATGGTTAGGTAAATATGAAAAATCAAGTCCATCAAAATCTATTCAACTACTCCCTTACTTCAACCCTTCTCTTTAGATTAAATCCCTAATATTTTTGTTAGGCTTTCTACTGTCACACCGCTCTCAACCATGGGAGTATGGTGACACTGAAATAACGTATCTCAGCCATTTGATGCTCCTAGAATAATGGATCTCAGCTCAAGATGCAATTTTACATACATGCAAGCAGTAGCCAGAGCAGAATCTTGTATGTGTGCTACAGTCAGCTCATCCTCAGTATTATGGCATTGTCTTTCCAGTTACATAAAGAAGCACAAAATTTGCACTGGAACAAGGTGAGTTTAAAGTAATCAATATTCATATCCATCTGAAGCAAGCCTTTATAATATTTTACATATTTCCAGAGATCACTTATTTCTGCTACATAATTCCAAGTTTTGTAACACTGAAAAATATCAAACCTATCAAACAAATGTACATTTTGTTATGTACTGAACTATTCTGTGCCATTTTACTTGATTTAAAATGACCAAAGTGATCACAATCAGACATGAGTATATCACCTCTTCTGCTCTGTACTTTGGAGTTAAAATTTCTAGGGAGTTTGCATTTTTTCTTCCATTAGATTCTCAGAGATCAGTACAAGTGTTATCAGAGCTTATACTTATAAAATACCATTTGGTTGTCTTTGCAGTAAAAAAAGATAATAAATTCTACCCCAAAAATCTGGCCCCAAAAATTAGCACCTAAAAGGGAGGAAGAGGAGATATCAAGGCAAACAACAAATTCTGCTCCCAACTAATTTCTAAGGTAGTCAAAACAAAGATAAAAAATGTGGGCACAATACAACAGCATGAGTCGTTTAGAGGGAAGACACATAGAGGGCATGGCATATTGTAAGAAATGGTGCCAACTTCATAATCTTATTTTACTTTAATTGTTTATTGTATTGCATTCTTGGTTGTCTTTGTTACAAAGACCAACAACAAATCATGCTTGCCATTTAACTTGAATTAAAATAGATTACAGAACTTGCTTGTGACACCTGCTGTCTCTCCCTGCCCCAGTTCTATGTAAAACAGAAACAAAACAAACGGAAACCGTCAAGCTCTGGCAGTTCATAATACACGGTTGAGCTTGAACAAGGGGAAAAGAAGAATGGTGGCAAGATACATTTAAATAACATTAAAATAACGTTTTCACTTCCGCAAAAGATGTCTTAAAGAATTCATTTTTTTTTGCACCAATATTTTGATCTCTCATTAAATAATGCAAGTACAAAGAAGACAGTTTTAGTCGGGTTCAACATAATTCATTTGTGTACAGAAGAATTACTGTTATTATCTTAATAAGTCCCTCAACTAAATACTCAGCAATCTAAAAGACAGATGTAGTCTTCTGAAATCCCAGAGGCTTAAAACGAGACTTTAGCTTTTATTTGACTGATTAAAATTTTTAACCAATTTTGTACAATTCCTAATATTCACTTAATTGACCAAATACCTGAAGGCTATGACCAAGAAAACCAACATTACAATGTGCCAGTTCAGATGCTGTCTTAAAAAAAGACAAGCAAGGGTACTAGTGTCTGTTATTTGATTGCTTACGTGTAGTTCTTCCTGCCAGCAGAGTATTTAAACAATACTTTAGGAGAAAACCCCCAGGCTAGGGAATGCTCTGTAAAACATCCATTCAGAATCGATACTGATTGCTTATATGAACAGCAGTCTACCTCCATACAATACAGCATCATACATACATACCTAAGCCAGAGTTAATTGAACTGAAATGAATAAATGAATTATTTTGATCACTGACCAGGCTTAAATAAAAATAAGGTAACATAACATAACGTAATGTAACATAACGTAACATAACAAACATAAAAACATACATAGCCAGCATAGGTATAATTTTCCTGATATGAGATAAACTATTTTAAACACCAAGGCTGTTAAGACTAAGATTTCAGAGAAGAGACCATAAATTGTAATAAAAAATGTGTGTGTGTGTGTGTGTGTGTATGAATAATTGCTACTATTGTTAAACTTTTAGCAATTGAATCAGACTGTCCCTAGTGAGGTCCTTCTCTACAGAACAGAGCAACTTGTTAGGAGAGGGTGTCACTCTGGACAGCTAAAAGATAGTTCAGGTAAAGATTCAT